TGGACTGTTGGGTCATTTCCACTTTCTGGCTATTCTGGATAATGCTGCTATGAACATTTGTATACGTGTTTTTGTGTGGACATGTCTTCGTTTCTTGTGGAGTACATACATAGTAATGAAATTGCTGGGTCATATGGCAAGTCTATGTTTCACCTGTTTGAGGAACTGCCACTGCTTTCCAAAGCAACTGCATCATTTTATATTCCCACCAGCAATGTATGAGGGTTACAATTTCTCCACATCTTGACCATCCCTTGTTATTATCCGTCATATTGATTGTAGTCAAACTAGAAGTGTGAAGTGGCATGCCATTGTAATTTTGATTTGCCTTTCCTGAATGGCTAAGGATGTTGAGCATTTTTCATGTGATTGTTGGCCATCTGTAACTCGTCTTTGAATAGAAATACCTGTTCAAGTCATTTGCTGATTTTTAATTGGGTTGTGTTTTTAAAACCTTTCCCCAGCTTTGTTGTGGTGTAACCAACACACAAAAAAGTCCATATTTAAAGTTTATAATTTGTTCTGTTTTAACATATGTATATACCTGTGAAAGTGTCACCATAATCAAGATAATGACTAGAACTGTTCTCTTCAAAAGTTTCTCTTTGCCCCTTTGTAATTCTGCTCTCTCCCCTATTTGTCCTCAAGCGAACACTTATGTTCTATTACTATAGATTAACTTGCTTTTCCTAAGATTTTATATAAATGCAGTTATACAGTGTGTACACTTTGGCAGGGGAAGGGAAGCCTGTTTTTTTTTTTTATGCAGCATATTTTGAGGTCCATCCTACTGTAGTTCATATACCATAGAATTCACCCTTCTAAGGTATAGAATCCAATGGTTTTTAGTATATTTACATAGTTGTGCAATCATCACCACTATCTAATTCTAGAACGTTTTCATCACCTCAGAAAGAATCCCTGAACTCATTAGCAATTACGTCTCATTTTTCTTACCCCATTACCCCGGAAACCTCTAATCTGCTTTCAGTCTGGGTTGTTTTTCCTTTTTGCATTGTAAGAGTTCTTTATATATTTTGGATACAAGTCTCTTGTCAGAGAAATACTTTCAAAATATTTTTATCCCATTCTATGGATTGTCTTAACTTTCTTGATGGTGTTGAAGCACAGAAATTTTATTCTGATGAGGCCCAATTTATCTACTTTTTATTTTGTCACTTGTACTTTTGATGTTGCATATAAGAAGACTTTGCTTGACCCAAGGTGGCAAAGATTATTTTGCCTGTGTTTTTTTCCTAAGAGTTTTAGCTCTTGGATTTAGGTTTACAATCCATTTGTATTAATAATTAAGATTTGTGTATGGTGCAATTAAGGGGCCCGACATTCATTATTTTGCATATGTAGCTATCTAGCTATCCAGTTGTCCACTCATTGAAAAAGACAGTGTTTCTCCATAGAATTGTCTCGGCACCCCTGTTGAAGTTAATTGGCCATAAGTAGAAGGGTTTGTTTCTGGATCCTCCAGTCTGTTTCTTTGGTAGATCTGCATCTGTTCTCTTGTCAGTAACACACTGTCTTGATTACTGTAGTTTGGTTGTAAGTTTTGAAATTTGGATGTGCGAGTCCTCCAACTTTATTCCTTGTCAGGATTATTTTTCTTGTTTGACGTCCTTTTTGTTTCCGTATAGTTTTTGGGATCAGCTTGTCAATTGCTGCAAAAAAAAATTCAGGTAGAATTTTGAATCTGGATGTCATTTTGGGGAATATTGACATCTTACCCTTATTAAGTCTTAAGATCCACGAACATAAGATGTCTTTCCATTTGTTTTAGGCGTTCTCTAATTTCTTTTATCAATGTTTGTAGTTTTCATTGTACGCATTTTGCATTTTTTGGGTTGTTTATTCTTAAATATTTTTGATGCTATTATAAATGGAATTGTTTTCTTAATTGTATTTTTGGATTGTTCTTGGATGCATAGAAATACAATTGATTTTTGTATATTGGTCTTGTATTCTGCGGCCTTGCTGAACTTCTTTATTAGTTTTAGTAGCTTTTTAGTGGATTTCTATGTACAAGATCATATTATCTGCAAATAGAGACAGCTTTGCTTCTGGTTTCCCCATCTGAATGCCTTCTACTTCTTTTTCTTGCCTGATTGCCCTACCTAGAACCTCCAGTACAATGTTTGCATAGAAGTGGTGAGAGTAAACATCCTTGTCCTGTTCCTGATCTTAGGGGGAAATATCCAGTCTTTTGTTTTTTGAGTTGGAGTCTCACTCTGTTGCCCAGGCTGGGGTGCAGTAGCACACTCACGGCCACCCCAGCGTCAACTTGCTAGGCTCTGGTGATCCTTCCACCTCAGCCTTCCAAGTAGCCAGAACTACAGCCACGCCCTAACCATGCCCGACTAATTTTTTTTTATTTATTGTAGAGACAAGGTCTTGCCAAGTTGCCTGGGCTGGGGTAACCTACAGGTTCAGGCAGTCCATTCACTTCAGTCTCTCAAAGTGCTGGGATTACAGGCTGAGCCACCAAGCCTGGCCATAAATCGGCTGTTTTAACGTTACTCTTAGATGCTGGAATTCAGCTGTTTTCTACTAGCAGGAATGTTTCTGTGAAAATAGAAAAAAATTGAGTTTGTGAGAGACTTTATATAATTAGCAGCCTTTTGTAAGGAAACTGAAGCATGCACAATTATAAACCACCACAGACCTTCAGACTTTGTATTGAGAATGAAAACTAGAGAGTGCTTTCATTTTTGCTTTGTACTTTAAACTTGAAATGCTACTACTTATAAAGTAATGTCTCTTGTAATTTAATGATCACTACTGTAGTTACTGTGAGAAAATGCTGATTTCAAGACAACTGCTAACTGTTAACAATCGTATTAGCTTGTTGGTGAGACTACCTGTTAGATTCATACAAGAATCTAGACCCTTAGAAATAGCCTAACTTCATGTCATCAATTAAGATCTAAGTATATAGCAATGTGCATTACCAATTCTAAATTTAAATTAGTTGATAGTCTTGGAGACTGTTGCAAAAAGCTACCAAAGTTCTCCAATTCAATCATAAATAACTCATTATTTGGTTGAATTGGGAAAAAAAAGTTGTTGCCAGGCGTAGTGACTCATGCCTGTAGTCCTAGCACTTTGGGAGGTAGAGGTGAGAGGATTGCCTGAGCTTAGGGGTTCGAGACCAGCCTGGGCAACTTGGCGAGACCTCATCTCTACAATAAATAATTTTTAAAAAATTAGCCTGGCTTGGTGGTACATGCCCTGTGCTTCCAGCTACTTGGAAGGCTGAGGTGGAAGGATGGCCTGATCCCAGCAGGTCAAGGCTGCCTTGTTTGTGAGCATGCCATGGCACTCCAGCCTGGGCAACAGAGTGAGACTCCAACTCAAAAAAAGAAAAGAAAAAGAAAGAAAAAATGTTATATCGATCAACTCATTAACTCATATGATTTGTAAGTCTATTTGTGAGAAGTTTGCTGCCTGACATTTTGTTTCTTGTTTGAACTGTCTCATTAGAATTATCTAAAATCATGAATAAACTGAGAATAATCAATTATTTTATTTAAGGTAAAAAAGGGTAGAATTTTGACAAACTATGAATTAATTCTAAGATTAATAGAAAATAGGAAGCCCAACCATATACCCTAAACTTGTAAACTTTTAAAAGGCATATATATATATTTTTTGAGTCGGAGTCTCACTCTGTCGCCCAGACTGGAGTGCAGTGGCCGCTCTCGGCCATCGCAGCCTCGACCTGCTGGGCTCCGGTGATCCTTCCGCCTCAGCCTTCCAGTAGCTGGAACTACAAGCGTGCTCTACCATGCCCGGCTAATTTTTTGGTTTATTGTAGAGATGAAGTCTCGCCAAGTTGCCCAGGTGGGTCTCGAACCCTCAGGCTCAGGCAATCCACTCACCTCAGTCTCCCAAAGCGCGGGATTACAGGCTGAGCCACCGAGACTGACTTAAAAGGCATATTAAAGAGCTAATATACCTATTTGAATGTTCAGAACCCAAATATAGAGCAGAGTTGTTAAAAGACAAATCAGCATAGCTATATAATGAGAGATGATTTTATACACTACAAATTATTTCTTCTGTTTAACCTTAAACACACAAGATATATTTAGGATTATGTCCATAGGAAAAAAGCTTGCTGATTTAATGATTTCTAAGAAAATGTTTCCAATTAATTAATTAATTAACTTTTTAAACCATCCTCAAGTAGATAAAAATGAGATAGTACCCATTAGGGAAAAAGTAAAGGGAAAAGATGAGTGTTTGGGTACTGAAGTTGGCATTAGGCTAGTTGTGGTAGCATGTGCCTGTAATTCCAGTACGTTGTGAGACTGAGGTGGGAGGTCTTGAAGGAGGTCATTTGAAGCCAGGGGTTTAAGACCAGTCTGGGAAACAAAGCAAGACCCCATCTCTACAAAAAATGAAAAAACTAGCCAGGCACAGTGGCATGGGACTGTGTGCCTGTGATCCTAGCTACTCAGGAGGCTGAGGTGGGAGAATCACTTGAGTTCAGGAGTTCGAGGCTACGGTGAGCTACCACTGTGTTGTTGCACTCCAGCTGGGTAACAGAGTGAGACCCCATCTCCAAAAGATATATAAGAATAAAAATCCAAAAGTCTTAATTAAATACTTCATGTATTATAAACCATGTACAGACATCAAATACTCTTCAGATTTGAAATTTTGATAGCTGATGAGTTTTAAAGTTGCATAAGTCTGTAGACAGGAATAGTATAATAATACATATAGTCCAGTATATATTTCAGAAAATGGTAATGACTTATTTGTCCTTTATTAGATGATACTGTTAGCAAACAAAATACATAGCTCCCTCGTCACATGTATGCCTTATGATGTCTGAAGCGTGGAAAACAATAGAATTTTTACATTTCTTTGGCATTTTTCTAGAAAAAACTAAACATGTTTAGAAAGACTGTTAACTCATGTTCACTAAATGTATATATATTTTAATGTGAAAAATTATTGGATTTTTGTTCTTACAACTGCAGGAAGCATATGTGCCTCATTTCTTACCCAAAGTTACCAACTGCCGGTTCTTGATACAATGTTTCTCAGAAAGAAATACCGAGGTAAAGATTTCGGGCTTCAAATGCTGGAGGACTTTGTTGATTCCTTTACAGAAGATGCACTTGGCTTGCGGTATCCACTGTCGTCTCTCATGTATACAGGTAATGGACTAAGCTAAAAAATGTCAAACTTGTCTCTGTGTCACTTCTGACTTGTTTCTCCAGAATATTGTAAGTGTGTATAGATCAATAATAAATTTTAAATCTTTGGCTCTCTAGGCACTTAATTTTGCAAATGTGCCTTTATTTCATATATATGGCTTTTAGGGTATGTTCGTCTTGATAAAAAATGTAGATATGATGCACATACCATAAAATTCCCCCTGGTTAAAGGATGCAAGGTTTTAGTACATTCATAGGTGTGCAGCCATAACCACTAGTTCCAGAATATTCTCATCACCCAAAAGATAAACCCTGCACCAGTTTGCAGCCACTCTCCAGTCCTTCCTCCGTCCTCTGAGAACCACTCGTTTATTTTCTATCTCCGTGGATTTGTCCGTTCTAGACATTTCATGTAAATGGAATCACACGGCATGTGGCATTTTATGTTTGGCTGCTTTCATGAATCATAATGTTTTCAAAGTTTACCCATGTTGCAGCATGAATCAGTACTTTATTTATTTTTATGATCAAATAATATACCATTGTGTTGATAAACTGCGTTTTGGTCCAAAGTGATTGCACCATTTTACACTCTCATAAACAATGTGTGAGGTTTACAGTTTCTCCACATCCTTGTCAACATTTGTTATTATCTGTATTTGTTATTATAACCATCCTAGTGGATGTGAAGTGGCTTCCCATTGTAGTTTTGATTTGCATTTGATGTTGAGCATCATTTCATGTGCTTATTGGCCATATGGCCACTTTGGAGCAGTGTCTCTTCATATCCGTTTTTTCTTTGAGTTACTTGTCTGGGTGGGTAGCTTTTAAAATTAACAACGTAAAAGAAATTTCTGGCACACAGAACGGCATAAAGAGTAAGGTAACAAACACTCATGGACCATTCATGAGAAACTAGTTGTTGCCGATATAGTCGAAGCCTCCTGTGCACTTTTACCCAGTTAGACTCACTCCCATCCTTGGAATAAAAGTACTGTTTTCAATCTGGCATTTATTTTCTCATGCATTTCTTAGACTTTTAATACATATGTATGTATCCTCAAACAATATAGTGTATTGTTTTACATATTTAAAAACTTTATATAAATATGTACCATATAGATTCTTCTGCAGTTTGCTTTTTTACCAATTTTTATGTTTGTGAGTTTCCTTCCTGTGGATTCATGTAGGTCTATTTATTCATTTTCAGTACTGTGTAGTATTCATTGTATCAGTATACCATTTAACGATGTTTTTTGAAATCCATTTGTGGATTTATTTTTTCATTTGTGTAAAGGTCAAAAATTACTTTTTGCTAAAGTAAGATTTAATCCTAGAAGGTAATTCATTTGGAAACTTGTGAAATATAATTTACGATTGCTCTCAGTCTAGCATCAGATGTTTATTTCTACTGAAAATGTATTTATATTCTAAGTCCTCCCCCCTTAATATAAAAAAAAGATCCAGAAAACAGGTGCCAAGTGCAGTTTTGCATGCACATCTTGAATCATATTTTCTCTCTAGACTCACACATGAGAGCGGGATGGCCATTGTATGCCCTTGGATCATCTTAAAGTGGATCACCCTAATGACTGCTTTACTGAATTTGGGGGGAAATGCAAAGACATGCACTGCAGGCAGAATCCCATAATACTTACTCTTTTCTATTATTCTAATGATAAATAAATTGAGTACCAAAGAAATTACTGATGAGTATCAGCTGATTTCTGTCATGGCGTCAAGTCTTGGTGGTCTTGAACTCTTTCTTTTTCCTTCTGTTTAGATGGGAGGTTCCTTAACAATGTTTTATTGATATCGTTGTATAATTTTATGAATAAGACCCTGAAATGTAAAAACAATTGACTAAATTGAGAACAGAAATTGTAATAGTCCTATCTCAGACTGTGGTCTCTCCATCATTTTCTAGCTCTTCCTGCAAGAGTACAGTGCTTATTACATTTGAAGTCTTGGATTTCCATTAGATTTTCTCTTTGAACTTAATTAATAGTTCCTTAATGTTCTATATATGCCATAGTTCTTTAATGGCCATTACTCGTTTCCAATAATATTTTTGAGCATTTTAGGAAAATAATACAGTGTTTTTACTTTGCAAGCTTTAACAAAGTAGAAATAATTTGTTCATTTCACAAACAGATAGTGAGTGCTAAGTATGGATGGACTTGGTCTCAGGCTACAGTAGATGATTAGCTAAAAATGGGAAGTTGGTTTACACAGTGTTATAAATAAGGTCAGGGTTTAAAAAAAAAAAAAAGACTCAGCTATTGCGTAACTTTGCATGTCAAACTATTTCTGCTCCAAAACAGGATGCCTGACTTTTTTATTTTTTATTTATTTTAAAGATGTGGGGTACAATTCAGGAATAAATATACTAGTGGTCATTGTACAGGTAAAGTTTGTGCCTCCCTTTGGTCACCACTTTGTCTGGTTTGAGATTAGGTACCCTTATTGATGTTATGTGCCCCTCCCTCCCCCCGGCAGTAGTCCACTACTGCCAATCACTGTCTTATAGGGTTATGATAAATGTTGAGGGTCTGCTTATGAGTGAGAACATGTGGTACTCAGTACTTTGCTTCTGTGATAAATCACTTAGTATTATAGATTCTGAATCCATCCAAGTTGCTGCAGAGTCCATATGTTTGTCCTTCATTATGGCTGTGTAATATTCCATCGTGAATATGTACCACTATTTTTTTTATCCAGTCCATTTCCGATGGGCAGCACAGTTTGTTCCATATTTTTGTTATTGTGAGTAGTGCTGCATGTATCTTTTTTGTAGAATGATTTGTGTTCCTCAGGGTATATTCCCAGTAGGGGGATTGCTGGGTCATATGGAAGGTTAATGTCTAGTTCTTTTAGAAATCACCACTGTTTTCCAAAGAGATTGCACTAGTTTGCATTCCCACCAGCAGTGCAGTAGCATTCCTTTTTCTCCACATCCTCACCAGCCTGACTTTTCACCAATAAAAAATTTGTAAATGTTTGTTGAGATTATTACCTTAAATTTTACTTTGGGTGGTAGGGTACAAATTGGAATAGATGTCAACAGAAAATGGGGGCACTTTGCATAAATTTGAGGGTCAGTAAAACTATAATGTTCTTGTGACATATCCAAAACCTCCTTTTGTTTATCTGTCTTATCTTTTTATTTTTAACTTAATAATAATTCTTATTTTATGTTTATTTATTTTAAAAATTTTTATTTAAATTTTTATTTTGTTTTTAGTATTTATTTTGGTGAAATTTTGGTGTTACTGATGCTGAATTATTTCTACCAATAGTTAGTACAATCACAATTCAAAAGATCTGAAAAGGTTTCAGTAAGAAGATTATCATTGTGCCTTCAGCCACCTGTTTCTGTTCCAGAGGCAAATACTGTTAATTAGTTTTTTAGGTCTCATTACAGACATGCTTCATATTATGTAGACAAAACCTATGTATATTGTTTTCATTTTCTGCACAAATGTTTTATTTAAACATTAAATCTGTATTTTCTTATGGTTTATTCCACATTAGTATGTAAAGACTTTCCTTATTTCTTTTAACTTGGTATGGCCATTCTTTTTACATAATGTGCTACAAATGCATCTACCATAACTATTGATGAACATTGCTTTTATCTGTTGTTTTTTCTGTGTCAGGATAGGATGTAGGATGGTATAAAAAGGAAAAAGAATGGTTTTTCTTCCCCTCTACTCTCATACCATTCAACACAACACTTCTGATACCAGATGTGTGGGGGTATTTCTCCACATGCCAGGCTCCTATCATCAGGAAATTCCAAGGGATTTAGAAGCTCTGTGTCAGGAACTGGAATCAGAGCCCAGATACTGGAACAAAAGATTCTCCTGGTGCCCTGACTGTTCAGGAAATTGCAAGGAGTTTAGGAGTTCTGGGCGTGGGCCTGGAGGCAGAGACCAGCGGGTCTATTTCTTACTATTGCCAGCCTCTGTGTTATGCTATGGTAGCAGCAACAACAACCGCCATCCTTTTTGGCTTAAAATCGCAGAGGTCAGTTTCTCCTTCATGTTATATGTCCGTCAGTGGTCATCTTCGTTGTCCTCCCTCCAGCACCCCAGCTGACTGAGAGGCCACAGTCTGGAACATCGCCAGTGACCATGTACAGGCGTGTGTGAGCTATCCTGACTTAAAGTCCTGTTGCCCCATACAAACTACTATTCTTATAACAACCTAAGGGCACATCTTTGTTGTTCCAAAAAGGAAAACAGAAAAATGTCCAGTTACAGGTCAAGTTGAATTGGGGAGGTTTCCAAATGTGCTTTTCCTCTAGATATTTATAATTCATTCATAGCTCACAGCTCAGATATAGTTTACCAATCAGTGCTCCTTTTTATCATAAGTAATGCTATCTACCAAGGTAGCTACCGTTCCACTTTTATCAGGATTGCAGGGAAAGAATATTAGAAGGTTAAAGCACGGTCCTCCCATGAAGAAGTGAAGCACAAGATTTCATCATGCTGCTCAGAACTGCATGCAATTCAAAACTTATTAATTCTGGAATTTCCCATTTAGTGACCATGGGTAACTAAAACCACAGAAAACAAAATTGTGGATAAAAGGGGATCGCTGTATGTCTAAAGGGATAAAATCTTAAAAGAGGAATTGCTGGCTGTCACCTGTGCATTTACAAGTTCAACAGATATTGCCAAATTGCCTTCCGTAGAGGTTATACCACTTTATGCTTCTGCCAGCAATGTATGACATGCCTGATTCCTCACATCCTAGCAGTGTAGTGAATCAAATATTTTTGATAATTTTTATATGATAGGTAAAAAGGTTATCCAGAGCACTTTTTGAAAATCCACCTTATTAAGTTACAGTTTATGTACAATAACATGTAGCTGTTTTAAGTGTACATTTTGATGACTTCTGGCAAGCGTGTAGACCCTCGGTATCGTAGACATGGTCTAGAGGCATAGTACTGTTATTGTTTCCCCAGATTCCCTTGCTTCCTTCCCCTC